TATCCTAATGTAATGTTTATTTTTAAAGGCACAATATATAAGATTTTTTTATTAAAATATCCAAAAACCACTAGAACAGTGTTATATATTTTGCTGACTTGTGTACTTACATTATCCCAAATGTTTCGAAGAATGTTTAAATCCAGAGAAATAAGCAATTTTAACTAGTGACATGGACCGTGTCCATAGTGTCATTGTGTCGCCTGCCAATGACGCCATAACCCCTCGATTTCCGGTTTTGTTTTGTAGAAAACATGGAAACACCAAAGACGCTTTAATATGTTGTGCGTTTTAATAGACCGGTGACGACCACACAGAGTAGCATTATAACAGAACTTTCAAACTTATATAGTATGATAAAACAGTGCTGTTTTTTTTCCCCACATACGCATGACCGGAAGGAGCGGAAGCGGTCGACTGTGGCATAATAAAAGCTCCGCGAGCCGTGTGTCACGCTCGTTCAGCGGCCTCGTTTCGCTTTGACGGCTTTCAGCCTCACCGTGCTTCATTCTACTACTTTAATAAATCATTAGCTCATCCATGAACATGATTTCTGCCCGAGTCCCGTCGGATTGCATCGGCTGTGGGGATGAAGACGACAAATCCCATGATTCCACACTCAGTCACGCCGTCATCAAACTACATTTGATTCTTTGTTTGTTTTGAATACATGCCTCTAGCGGCGAAAAATTACATATTGTGCCTTTAAATGCACACAAAAAACAACAACAAAACACTCAATTAGTCAATGTCTATGGACGGGACGGTTATTAATGTGTAAGTTTCGAGCATCGATTTAATGATTTTGACGTATATCCTCCTCCCCCTACTGGACGCATCAGGAACAACAGGGGCGTAAAACTGCCTGGGCCGTAGATCTGCCTGCTCCAGGTCTGCAGCCTCCCCCTACTTGATTTCCTGGAGAGTCATAAGTTATATTACTTCTGTGACATATATGTGGAATCTCTGCGCGAGAGTGCCCTCCGGCTACCAGTATGAATGAAACAGACATTACAGCACTCAATAATAGCCTATTTTGGGTAAACATTAGGAAAAATGGTACTTCTCTCAAAATAAATTTTAAGTAGACATGATAATACATTTCTTTTTCCAGTGTACACAAGTGTACAGGATTTTTCTGTTGTTACATTGTTTTAAAAATCAAATTTTAAAACACTCTGATGTGCCAAGCCATCAGAACCGAATTGAACCCGAAAAACGTGGTTAAAAAACTGAGGTATGTATTGAACCGTGGGCTAACTGTATTGTTGCATCCCTAGTGAGTATGCCTGGGGTCTGACCGTGTGCAGTACTCTAGCAAGCCATTGACTGAGGGGACGGGCAGGGAGAACTGTTTAACAAAATGAGGCCATACATCAATCAATAACCTCACCAAAAGCCAGCCAAAGGCCCTCTACAGGACTGAAACAGCCCTGCTTTTCAGTATATTAAACAACTAGCCTAATAATGTCTCTGTCTTTTTCAATCAATGTACACCACTGGATCACAATATATCAGCGTTCTAATTGGAAGGTTGGAGGTTATAGTTCTGGCAAACTAACAGGCATGTTTGGCAACCTCATGGCTAGAAGCAGGGTTATTGATAAAAGATTAAACAGACAAATGACATAAACAACTCAAGTATATGACATTTGATTATAAAAACGACAAACTCACATACCTAGGAAATAAACAAAAATTTAAAATAAAACTGAAAATACAAAAATAAAAGCTAATTCTATAGATTTGAATTAAAACTATAATAGTACATAAATAAAACTAGAATAACACTGACTGAAATGGCTTAAAAGGTAAATTTTGTTCAATATTTTTAGCTAAACAGCAATGGTTGCTAATTAGATTAAAAATGTTTAATGAAAGAAATATAGCATAAATCTGGTTATAAGCAACAATTTAAAAGTTGTTTTCTGTACTGTATTTCACTAAATAACGCAAGAAAAAAAATCATATTTAATAATTGTATTAATATGCACAAAATAATATGCACCCTAAAAAGAATTACTAAATCGTTATTTACTGATGCTCAAATTATACAACAACTAACGAATATATCGTAAATATTTGCCATATCGACCAGCCCTACTGACTACCCAGCAGTCCTTGACGATATTCTTCAGATACTGTGGAATCTGAATGAATGATGCATCATTCATGTCACTGGAGAACAAAAGTGGGCTGTTAAGTTATGATGGTATATGCTAGATTAGTTTTCATTTGAGGCATAGCTTGGCTTTAACAAAAGCCACTCAATATCCTTCCGTGTAGAAGGCAACCAAGCAGATGCATTCACTGGTTTCAGCTTCTCATTAAAAAAAACTGCACTGCCCCTTTAAGGCAGAATTTCCTTTTTTTTGTCAGTTTCCTGTTGCAGCCTGATAACGGGCCTCATTCGGCAACGCAATGACACCACACAGCACTATTATTCCCTGTGTTATTGCCTGGAATCAGTGCTACCTAAATCCAGAGAAAGCTCCATCACCACCTGTAGTGCAGAGAGTAAGACTTTCTGGATTATGTGAAAGTGAAGAGAACTATTTTTAGCAGCAGGAATGGACGCAGTCTGTTGAGGTTGTGAGCTGCTAGAGCACACATATGCCAGCTGAGACAATCAGACAGAGTCCAAATACAACAGTTTATTGAGGCTGTTAAACAGCAAGGTAATGTTATGTTATATGGTGGATCCTGTTCTGGCATATTTTCTTCATGGAAAAATGACCTATATGCATTAATGTAGGTAGCTGCAATCTAGAATATCTCCTAAAGCGTCTAGAGTCTAGAAAACTTGAATATCACTTCCTCTGTACTGCTTTTCCTCCAGTCTACCTCAAGTTAAGTAAAACTTTCATTTTCCATGCTGTTTTAGGATCTGATCATCACATCTAAACCCAGAGCTTCTCACTTCTGAAATGAATTGCAAACCAGGTCTGAGATCAACTCTGAAAGTCAACTTCCACCAACAATCCTGCATTAACCACCTGCCTCCGCTGAAATTGCTGTAGCTCTTCCTGTGTTTGAGAGGATAAGAGAGTTTGTCCACGCCTGTCTGGATTCACAAAGCACTTAGTAATATGTCCGCTCTATAAACTAGATGTGAATGCTAAATCATCAACGAGAATACAGATGAATGAACAATGAATATTCATGAAAGCAAACATGCAACAACATTAGCATGTAACGACAGCAGACATGGTTTCAGAAAGAGTCTTTTTTCCTTCCTTTCCCCCACAAATCAACCCAAATTTGCACACTTTAATACTTAATACCAGGGATGGGCAAACTTGGTCCTGGAGGGCCACTATCACTGTCCAACTCTCATGCCGTGAATCCAGAGCAAAGTGTCTTGCTGTTTTGGATGCGAATGCATGTTTGAAAGCACAAAACACAACTTTGCTCTTTGTTGACCACATGAACAGTTTGAAACGATGGCGCTCTGATAGTGTTGGTCATTATGTGAATGTGCCATTGTCTGAAGAATAGAAATTCAGTTGTGAAAGTCACCAAAACACAGAGGAACACGACCATGTGACTCTCATACAAAGGACACTGTGCACCACCTGACTAACCATGCAGTCGAGACAGCAGCTCTTAAACCAGCAGAAGTGGGCCGTCAGCAGCTGGAGAGGGCCAATGACATGTGTGTGCTGTATCAAAGTGCTGACAGTGCCCAGAGGTGACTCTGCAAGCGTGAAGCAGTCCTCCCTTCATTAGAGAATCTGTATCTGAACATTGGATGAGACAAAGGTATCTACTACTTCAGCATCATGCCAATAACAAACAAAGGCAGCGTATATGTTCCATTCAAAGGGCATTAAAGTGAGCGAGACGTGAATTTAAATTGTCTTTATTTACAGAGGTATATTATGTCACACTTCACACATCTCTAGTAAGTTTCGTCTGTGTGTGAAGACGCTGCAGGCCATGGCGTAGCGCAAATCTGTGAATGAATGTTCCAAAGTGAAGTAAACTTCAACGGATTTCCTGTACTCAGGGAGTAGGGAGCAATGAAAACTGTGTAGGGACCCTGTCAGTCGGAACACAGTTCATGCATGGAGCTCTCTTCTTACGAGCTGGTTATCTGAATCAGGTGTGTTAAATAAGAGGGACATGCAAAATGTGCAGAGAGGGTCGCCAGGACTGGAATTATCCCGGGGGGTCGGGGGGGGGACAGGACCCCTGAGGGTTGTCCCCCCTAAAATTATGATTAAAAACCACGCTGTGTATTGTAATGTAAATAACCTTTTATACTTTAAATATCTTTGTAACTAGTAAAACAACCCAAACGGGGCAAAAATGGGTTTTAAGTTTAGAAACATTTTGAGTCTCCCCCTCCCTTGCCTCACAGTGCTTTGGTCCAAATGCCTGCTTTCCTCTTTTACATCACCTCAGTGTTGCCAAGTCCGCGGTTTTCCCACGGAATTGGGCTACTTTAACACTGTTGACGCGGGTTTTTCATGTCCGTAGGTTGAAAACCTGACAACCCTGCATCACCTACACAAAGACACACACACAAGTCCGGTGAGCGAGAACAAAGTCAATAGTTGTGGAACTCCAAGGCTGTCAAGGCTATTTTATTCACTTAAACATCGGATGAAGTGATTATTTTCTCTTTAATTCAGATGATGCCAATGTATTTTTCGATGAGTCCACTATGTTAGCAATAATAACATTACCTGCTTGACGGATAGTAATGTCTACAACAGACACGACCGCTGTCGCTGCGTGACCACAGCAGCTTGAAGTTGTCTAATTTGGCACGGTCTCCGTTACACTAATAGTAGTAAGGCTTTCTTCTGTGTAAACTTTTCCTTATAAGTACAATTTTAGCATCCCCTTCAAAAATTGCTCTTGAGAAATTTTATGTTTATTGTCCCCCCCAACTGTTAGACGAAATTTACGCCCCTGCCGTCACGCTAATGCATTTAATTTATTACACAAGGCGTTTCTTTCTGTTCTTGCTTTCACGTGTTTTAGGCACTTACCTTGATGGGGTTTGTACTGAAACAAATCTTCCTGCTGGGGGGTGGTTCATCTTCTACAGGCAGCCCAGGGATTTCTGAACAGCTGGATTCTGGTTCGTAAGCACCATCATCCTCAGCCTCCTCATCTTCATCCAGCTGACTACCACCAGAGTCCTCTCCAATCCCGCTGTATGCGCTGATGTCCACCAGGTCTGCTTCTGAGATATCCTCTCTGTGGGATTCCTCCTCAGCGCAGGCCTGTCCAATTTCCTCCTTTTGTTCTGAGGGCTCATGGCTGCTGGTGGCCTCCCCATTTTCCAAAGAGGCGTGGACATCCGCCTGTACCAGTCTGCTCCCAGCATCCGGTGCTTCTGGTGCTGCATGCCCCTCTGGTTTGGAATCCTTGCCCGATGCATTATGGATCTCTTCTGACGTGGACGTATTGAAATCCGTACCAGCATTGCCAGAAGCCACATCCTCGGATAATTTGCTTTTGGGTCCATCAGCTTGGAAGCTTGTTCTACTCTTCGGACTCCCAGGTGCAGCCTCTTGGTCTTTGCGCTGAGCTCCCTCCTCTTGATTCTCTGTCGGAGGGGAGACTCGTCCCTTTCTAGTGACAATTTTGGAGCTGATTCCTCCCACCTTGCCCGGGGTAGAGCCTACCCCGTGAGAAGGCAGTGGGGAGGTTGAAGATGGTCGGTGAAGGTTGTTGCGTTGGTCTGTTCGTTCAAACACTGCGCTCAACTGGCTGACTGTAGGGGACACTGCATCTGCTCGACAGTCCCCCGCGTCCAGTCTGTCCAATGACTCTGTGCTGCCATTGAAGCGAACCACCACATCCAAACGGCTGTCTTGGAACCCCGACGCCCACTCTTTCTTTAACAGGATTCGATTAGTCGCAGCCTGCTTCTCCTGCAGGTGACGCTGCTCAAATATCTTCCGTGTCTCCTGTAGCTTGGAGAAGCCTGTGCTTGGTCCATGGGAGCTGCTACCGTCGGTCTTTCCATCGAAGCGGCTAACTCGCTCTGACACAGTCCCGCCGAGTTTGAGCAGCGCACTGTGATCCACATTCTCATTCAGACTGCTTGCTCTGGGGAGGGAGAGTCGGATTGCCTGGTCTTTGGCCTTCGACGGATCCTCTTCTTCCCCAGGAGAACCCATCTGCATGAACATATTCTTGATGCGGTGCACATTGGAGCCGTACCTGCGGCCCCGGCCCTGTAGTCGAGGTTTCCCATCCTCCCCGTTAGCAGCACTGGAATCTTTTACTGGCTTGAGAGATTGAATTCCAGCTTCATAGGCGTTTCTGTGCGGTGATGCGCTTCTTGCTACGAGGGTGGTGCTGGCGCTGCCGCTGGCTGCAGATGGGGGTTCAGTCTTCATCATGGTTAATCAAACAGCAGTAAAGACGAGCAGAAACAGCATAGCCCTCTGCTTCTCCTCCTTACTGCATGAATAAGAAGTGGCAGCCTTCAGGATCAGTCCATATTATCAGCCGCAAAACAGAGAAAAGGAGAAAGTATGAATAAGACAGAAATAATTGACATATTTTATAAGAAATATGCAAAGAATAATTGATCAGAAAAATAATGCACACACGAGGTGGTGATACAGCCATTACACCAAGCGGGGCATTATTTTTCTAATAATTCAATGGCCCGAAGTCAGTTATTCCGCTTATACTACAGTTACCACAAGACATTGTTCAGATTATGTATTTCAAGACATTTGTCAGGTTTTTGTCCTTAAAACACTCTTGCATGTAGGACTAATTTCACAAGCATCAAGTCTCAAGCCTCAGTTGCTAGTTCCACAACATCATTTTAGACCTAGTTGTGAAGGCCCGAGCCATAGTGCAGTTATAAATGCAGTCTAATGCAGTAATTAGAGAGAGCGAGATTAATTGTAGCTGTGTGAAGCACGTGTAAATGACCTGAATCTGTGCATTTAAATGGAAAACATTTAACCAAGTGGCATTTGCAGACAAATTAATAGAGTTCATACATAAAGCCAGTTCACTAAGAAAGACATTAAATGAAACTTGATTTGATATTTTGCATCTAATGCAATGGAATGCATTCATTTTTAAGTGTAGCCTATGTACTGTCTAAATACTTTTGACAGCTCATTTGACAAATCAAGTGGGGCCACTACATAAAGTATATATATAAAAAACAGCAACTGTACAGGGCAAATGCCTACATGTTTAGTACCCTAATATGGTTTTTGAGCATCCATTGACAGCTCTGCCATGGCCACACACATGCCCCAGGGTCATAAAGCCAGAAAAGCTGCATTCTCAGACGCCTCTTACTTTTACAGTTCACTTAAAATTGCACTAAAACAAGAGTAAATGACTAATTGACTATTAAAAAGACCAATTTTTAATCTATAACCTTTAAAAAGAAAAAAGTAGGCCTACATAAAAATCACAACAATATTAAAGACTACAAAGGAAAGGGTTTACGCAGTGATGCAAAACATTTCCGTAATGACTCAAATTTCCTTGAGATGTACTTTGAGGTGTAGACTACATCTTACATAACACGGTTTTCAAATATTTTTTAAACACAAATCATTCATTTTGGCAGACAAAGCTATTTAAATGAGGCTGATAGCTGTGCTTTGGAACATGGTAGCTCGTTTCTAGATGGTCTAAGATGGTCATTAGCTGGCAGACCATCTTAGACCGGCAACAAAGCCTCTTAAGATGACCAAGCTGGTTTTTAAAACATAGTAGCTGGTCAAAATTCAGCAAGAAAATGAACTAGAGCCCAGCCACCATGTTACAAACACAGCTCCCAGCTTAAGCTGGATTTTCCAACAGGGTTGGATCTCTGTAGACAACAAATTGATCTTTCTGTCAGATAAAGGAAGTCCGATCATGAACGAAACCGTAAACAGAGTCACAGGAACTTGAGACAATTTCAAGTCATTTGATATATAAAACGGTGCATGAATTCTTGGGAAATACCACGCATACTGGCATGGACAGGCAGGCTTTGTTGTGATCCCATGCTGCTGCTGCCAGTAGATTTACTTATCTCGGCAGCATGAGTCAACCAGCGAAACATCAGCTGTCGTTTTAATTCCGCTTTACATCGAGATATGCAAGACAGACCATATCGCTAATTAAAATCGGAAACTGTAAGATATATCTTTTCTGCGCCGCCAGTTGTGTTGAAGGAGTGTCAACAGATTGAAGCTGCAGCCTGTCAAAACATCACACTAGGACCCTGCGGAGCGAGCGGCCCCGCTCTCTGCAATGATGCCTCGACTCGGCGACGTCGCTTCCTGCATCCTCCACCGTCCAAATAACGGTTCTACTGTTAGAATAAAAGGACATTTTTGATTTCCTCCGCTCTCCTCAGAAACTGGACATACCTTGTTTCTCGTGCTCATCGAAGACTCCGTCCTTTAATTAACGAAAATTACGTTCCTTTCGTTCACAAATCCAAGATGAACTTGCAACTTATCTATTTTGGCATAATTTTTTATTTTAATTAATTTGTAATGCATTCCGAATACCTAATTAAGTTTTTATTTTATTTAGATATTTAATTTCTTTCTTTCTCGCGCCCTCGCTCTCTCTCTCTCTCTCTCTCTCTCTCTCTCTCTCTCTCTAGTACACAGCAGCATCGCAGGTTATTTTAACCCTTCAAGCACAACAAAAAGCTACATATACACTGGTAAAGTGGCAAAAACTGAACAATAGATTTGCACAGTAGTAGCATAAAAAGTAGTAGTGGCGTAAGCTGGTAGAAATAAATAAATAAATATCATATGTACATTAATTCCCGTAATAATAATTAATAATTTAAGTAGTTATATAATATAGTTTACTGTACTACTGCTATGAAGAAATCATTTTTAGCTGTAGTACAGCAAGTTTGAGATATTTTATAAAGCATACCATATTATATACATTTATTCCCGTTTTTATAAACTAGTGAGATAATGTGAATATAGAGATTTTTTGTCCCCCTTTGTTTCATTTTCCTCTTCATTTCTTTATTTACTTCACATTTATTGTCTCTGTTCTGAATTTCAGTATGGCAATATTGTAATTATTAATAATAATCATTTGTAGCTAACAATCTATCGATGTAGTATACTTCTTAAATTTGGTATATATGTGAATTCACCTCATTTTATTTTATTTTAACTGTACTTTGTCTCCTTTTAATGTCATTTCCATTTTATATAATTACTTAAGTCGTCCTGTTTATTTTTTATTTTGGTAGCTTACCATAAAAGCTTTAATAATGTAAATACTGACAATCCTGCCAATACAGCTTTGGTGACACTGATAGATAGATAGATAGATAGATAGATAGATAGATATTCTTCTCAAAAGGTAATTCAAAAACACAACCTATGCTATCACTGAAACATTATGGCCAGAGCGTTCAATAAACACAAATCTGTAAATAAACACGTTTACATTTCCATTTTATATAATTACTTAAGTCGTCCTGTTTATTTTTTATTTTGGTAGCTTACCATAAAAGCTTTAATAATGTAAATACTGACAATCCTGCCAATACAGCTTTGGTGACACTGATAGATAGATAGATAGATAGATAGATAGATATCTAGAATATAGATAGAATATCTATTCTTCTCAAAAGGTAATTCAAAAACACAACCTATGCTATCACTGAAACATTATGGCCAGAGCGTTCAATAAACACAAATCTGTAAATAAACACGTTTATACAGCAGGCAGTGATCTACTGGGGTAAACTCGAGGCAGCAAAATCTGTTGTCAGTAAAACTCTTGTCTAGTCAGTTTTTACTACACGTGTCCATCTCTGATTCAAACCACTGCTATGCGCGAAGGCCTTACCAGCACACAGACCCATTTTAGCGACATTTGAGCCTCTTCACAATCGTAGGCAATTACTGGTATGTAGAGGGCGACATCGTGTGGTGAGTGTTAGAAGTTCAGACTGTCCCTAACCATTGTACAATTTGTAGCCAGGGCACCGGTATGGAATCCCACACACCCTGGGGAGTCTTTGTTGCACTTCCAATCTGTGATTGTGGAAACCGTGTCTGTGGGCACTGAATATGGACTGAAGATGAAGTGAGACAACCTTTTCAGCTCCATTTGCATTGCAATTTGACATGCTGCAGCAAAGAATTTTGAATTAAGGGATAAAGGAGATTTTTCCTGAGCCTATGATGTTGCACACTGCAGGTACAAAAGATAGATAGATAATCTGTGACAATCATGTTTGTAGACTAGGAATCTGGTTCAGGGGCTATGAGTTGGCTAACAGACATTAATTTGACTTATTTATTATTATTATTATTATTATCATTAAATATTTTATATTGAAAATGACCCACATTGCCAGTTTAAGTTTGTAGATTATAAACTCGCTTTAGAAACCCTAATTTTTAACTGAAATGGTACAAAAAAAGTTATTCTTTTTGTGTAATAATGCTAGTTATATTATACAGGATAGCAGTTGTTACAGCAAGAAAAGGTTCATTTAATGTTATACCGCATAGAGAAGTTCATTTAAACAGTGGCACTCTCTCATTATGTTCCTGGTGATTGCAGAACAGTAGGAGCAGATGATTGAGACTTCCCTTGGGACTCAAAACAGCTGAACACTGCACTTCGAATCTCTTCGCTAACATCTGTGTGGTTGCCGCAGCAACACTTGCATACTGCCTGCCTGCCACGGTGACCCATATTTCCTCTGATATTAATCTCACTACTCACATAGCACACACAGACTCCCCTGCGCTGGGCTTTTATGCAGGGGTGTGTTCGGTGAAATAGGATCACACTAGCTATTGTTTGTGTCTTTGACACTGATCACTCTCAAACAGAATCACAGCGAGCCCCCTCTAGATACTGAACTGCTCCACATGCATCATTGCTCAGTTCATTATGATCCTGTCTAGGTGGGTAAATAGCCTGGGAGTTGGATTCTCTCTTTAAAAATTCTTATTCAATAAAATTCTAAATGGCCATTGGCTGGGCTAACTTGATTTGATTTGTGTTTGGATTCTTTGTTGCTGTTGAACTGGACTAATATTTGTGTGTGTGTGTGTTTTACTTATTGCCTTCTCTTCATAATCCTTGTTCTAAATCTGTACAAATACAAGCTTTTCTGAAGATCCAGGATTTTATAAAAACTACATCTATAACAGTTTACTGATGATTGTGTCATAATATAATATTTTTGAGTTGTGGGATTTTTAGCTATGTCATAATTATTCAATTCCTATTCAACATTGCTGTTTTTAAGTCGCTTATTTGTACGGTGAGGAACAAAATTGTCTTAAAACACAATTAAGCCTTTAGAAACTCTATAACAAAACTGAATTAGCTTGAGCTGTTACACATACATTAACTTAGCCAATGTGCTGAAGTTGAGTATGGCAAATTCAACAGAGCTCTCACAAAAGCTAGAAAAGAAATTGTTTTATTACATTAGAAAGTCTAAGGCTACATGAAGATTTCCAAGACATTAAAGGTTCCTAGAGACAGCTGGCAGACATATTCCTTAGCTTAAAATGTGTTGTACCAGAAAACCCTCAAGGGTGTTGAAAAAAAAGCACAATATCATAAAATGTTTGATCAGAGCAACTGAGAAAAACCTGCATTGTACAGCCAAAGACTTGCAAGATGACCTAGGGCTGGGCGGTATATCGAGTTTGATATATCGATGTATTCTGTATAAACGACGGTATGCAATACTGGTTATAGTAGTTTGATACGAGCGCATCTGAATAATAGCGGAGGACACACAATGAGCTGCTGCTTGGGAAAAGTGCATTATACAATTTGTCCTAAACATGAGACATGCTTTATATTAAGGGCTTTAAAATAACTCGTAAGATGACACTCAGGTGTATCTACCTTTGCAGAAACAGGATAAAAGCTCTTTTGAGTCACTATTGAGTTGTTTACATGAAGTCAAATCTTGGATGTCACAAAATTATCTGAATTTGAATGAAAGCAAAACTGAAATAATCTGAAATAAACTCTGTTCGGGGTTCCTGACACCCAAAACTCTTTTGACTTGGGCAATTTAGCTCCCTTCTGTAAATCTGTGGTGAATAACCTTGGTGTCCAATTTGATAGCTCTTTTAAATTTGATAAACAGATCAACTCCGTGGTCAAATCTTGTTTCTTCTATTTTGATATTATTTTAATCTAAACCACTAGATGGCACAAAAACGTGGCGTAGCACTTTCCAAAACATCCGCTTTTCAAGATGATCGTGTATTTTTGTCTGATGCTTGACGCGATCGCGCGCAGCAGTGCAAAGTTGATTCTGTGCTTACTTGATCTAATATTTTAAGGTTTTTAAAATGTCATAGATTTAAAGGGGTCATATGATGCGATTTCAAGTTTTCCGTTCTCTTTGGAGTGTTACAAGCTCTTGGTGCATAAAGAAGATCTGTAAAGTTGCAAAGTCTCAAATTTTAACATGGGGAGTCTATGGGATTGACTCCCTTTTGCAGCCAGCCTCTAGCGGCCAATCGATGAATTACAGTTTAAGTCACGTCCTTGTTGGCATCACGAGAGAGAGCGGGAGGTTGCCGCTTGGTTGAAAACGACGTGTTTGAGAGAGGGAGGCATGCATAGAGGACCTTCAATAAAGATAATTAAAGCAACAGTTTTTAAATAACGAAAGAATATGTAAACGTATGGTATTTGGGGTAAAAAGCACCGCTGCTGTTGGGGCTAAAGGCGCACAGTAATTAACATGATAATTAATAGATGGTTGACCTTTCCATTTGTTGACATGACATCAGGGGCGATTCTAGGATTTTCATTTTAGGGGGGCTCAGCCCCCCAATGAGGGTATATAAATATCTCCACCCCCAGATCCCTAAACCCACCCATCTCCACCCCTGAACCTACCAATCTCCACCCCCTAGATGTGGATCCAACCACGCCCCCTGGATCTTGTGTTCTGCAGTGAGGGGCTACTGGAAGTCCCGGAAGCTTTCGGTGAATCTCAAATCTTTTTTTTTTCTTTTTTTTTGTGAATCTCGAATCGAGGCTTGAATCGTTTTAGACCAATGACGTCATTTATGACGTCCGAAGCCTGGCTTCCGCCTGACTGGTTCGAGATTAAGGCTAGAAGGTATACAGCAAAAACTACTGGGCATGCACATATCTCACACTGTACAACACTAATTACTATTTTTGCATTATTGTAAGGGGTAGGTTTAGGGTTGGGGTAGGTGTATACGTTAATAAAACACAATCTAATAGGTAGAAAAGTCAATTTATTGTTAGCTTCCGGTTTTTGCTGTATCCCTTCTAACCACAACCCTGGGGCAAGTTCAAGCTCAAACCAGTGTGCACCGTTTTGCTACAGTTTCCGTTTTGAACGACACGTATTTATACCGATTTCATCAGGCTCCGAAAATTCTTCAAAAAGAACACAAAGAATGGTCTTCTCAGCTGCCATAGTTGCA